TAATAATAAAATCCATTTATTTTTTATTTTTTTTCGGTTAAAAGTTTCAAATTTTCACTTATTAAATAATAATAATAATAATAATAGTAATAATAATAATAACTTCAATTATTTATATCAATAAATAACAACAAAAACGATTCAAATTACCTTTTAAAACGCGTTTTATGTTTATTTGTATTGTTAATAGAATTTTTTTTTTTTTTTAAATAAAATTTCAGAATGAATGCAAGAATTATTCAAAATTTTTTGCTCTTCAGTTTTGCCTTTTCATTTGTTTTATCATCAGCGGAAATAGTTATACCGATTAGAAGAAATATCGAAGATTCAAATATTTCCGTTTCCTCGATATTAACGAATTATTCAAAAGGATCACCCAAGACGACAACGACAACAACGACCGTTACAGATAGTGATAAATCATCATCCGATGATTATCATCATCATCAAGGGAATAATTACGTATCAAACCGTGAAAATTCAAATTACGTCATCAATAAGGAAAATAATATAAACAAAAGAAATCGTATGAGTTTCACGGGAATGAGAGGGAAAAAAGAAAATAATAATGATATAATATTGGATAATTATAACGAACCATGTAAAGGAACCCTCGTGACGTCATCAAACGTCATAGATAAAAGAAGTTTAAAAAATTACAAAGAACTTTTTGGCGGGAAAAGAGCTCCCCTCGCTTTTCACGGTATGAGAGGTAAAAAATCCGATGAGTACGAAACAAAATGGACGAAACCGAATCCGTTCGGTTTAAGATTTTTACCAACGAATCAAAAATTATTAATAACGAGCGGATTATTCGAAGATGGCGACGACATATTAACATTCGAATATCCGGAATATACAAATATTAAAAAAGAAAATTCGGAATCGATGATCGGTGATGATGATGTGACCGTTAAACGTTCGCCATATTCGTTTCAAGGTATGAGAGGTAAAAAAGGATCCGTTGATATGAATTTAAAAAGAACGATGGGTTTTCTAGGTATGAGAGGTAAAAAAGTACCTGAAATGTTATGGCATACTGATAATAAATACGATAAAAGAGAACCGCAAATGAGTTTTTTCGGTATGAAAGGTTAGTCGAATTCTCATCGTAACGTTTAAAAAAAAAAAAAAATTTCCCACCAAAATTTTTATTTAACGGTTTTTCTTACAGGTAAAAAAGCACAATCAGGTTTTTTTGGAATGAGAGGAAAAAAACAATCGTCGGAAAATTATTTTAACGGAAACGACGATGGTAAGAAGACTTTATCAATCCCTCAATAATGTGAAAAACATTTTAATTATTAAAACTCATTACAAACAATCAATAATTAAATGTTTCAAAACATTTATAAAGAACTTTTATAGCGAAGTTTTATTTTTAAATGTAAATAAATAAAAAAAACATGTTATTAAAGAGTGAAAAAGTTTTTTTTTTGTTTCTCCATAATATTATAATATAAGAGGATTTTATATTTTATTACGTTTAAGCTTTTTTGTTTTAAAAAAAAAAAAAAAGAAAGAAAAGTTTTAAAACAAAATAAAAGAAAAAAAAAAAATTTTCTCGCATTTCTTTACCAAATAATAATAATAATAAATGTTTTTTTTTTTATATCACACGCGTTTATATAAAAATTTACGAGATATGGTATATTTAAATATTATTTATGATACCAACTTAATGACGAAAAAAATTTTTTTTTTTTTTCAGATGTTAAACAACCGTTAGATGAAGAATATCAACAAAGGATTAATTATATTAATCGAATGAACGATGATGATGATGATGATGGCGATGATGGTGATGTGGAAATACTAAAAAATAGATTCAGAAGAGAAACTTTGTGGAAAAATGGCGACGATGATGTTAAAACTAAAAAATTATTTCATAGCCTTTTTCATTTGAAATAAAATAATAAATAAGTAAATAAATAAAATTAATACACGAGAGTAAGTTTATCATATTATTAATATTATATTTTATTCGATAAAAATCCAACCGTCGTCGATGATGACGTTTTGTTGTTAAACTTGCGACAATTTTCTCTCTCACGGCATTTTTTTTTTTTTTAAATTTTTTGTAAATTATCAACGTTAAGTGAAACGTTAATTTTTTAAATTAATTGAAGTTTCTCTCTCTCCCTCTCTTCTCTCTTTCCCTTTTTCTCTCCCGCGTATTTTTTCGATTCGTAATAATTTTAAAAATTTAGTGGGGGGGGGAAATAAAAATGGTGGAAATAATAATTAACTTATCAAAATTAAACTCATTAGGGTGTTGGATTTAAAAACGAAGAAAAAATTATTAATATTTTCTCTTGAAATATTTTTTTTTTAATGGAAAACAATTTCCCCCTTCCCCTCTCCATCCTCCCCTCCTTTCTCTCTCTTCCTCTCTCTTTCTCTCTCTAATACCACTTTTCTGATTTGTTATTATTATTATTATTTTTTTTTTTAATATTTAATAAGCTACCTTAAGAAGATTTAAATGTTTTTTTTTTGTTTTTTTTTTAGGTTTTCTTTTTTTTTTAAATAACCAAAACTTTTAACTAAAAATATTTTTTTATTATTAATAATAAAATTTTATGTAAATAATTT